CACTGCAGTGCTGGGAGACCCGTGTGGGTCAGGAGATGTACAAACTCACCATATTCGACTTCATCATCATATTTGCAGTCACTATCTTTGTGGAATTTCCCCGAAAGTAAGATCTCATTTTATCTCAGTAAGATAAGACACTTTATTCTGCCTGATATTTAGATTAGGCTAAATGTGAACAATGCTTTGATATAATATAAGGAGATTTGATCAATTAACTCTCTTGCATTTATATTGTGAATACTGATAGTTAAAGTGAGGAAAACTCGCCCCCCGGGGTTTATTTGTTGCATTTCTAACCCATCTTATTATGTTTGTACTTCACCCACCTACCATCACTTGCCTACAGAAACTTAGACTTCCCTCTTAGCTGAATAAAATCAAGTCTCTAATGTTACCATGTGGTGTGATTCAACATGACAAAATGAAGGAGATTTTAAGAAGCAGCATGTGCTGCCCCAACCATTCAGAGTGTGTGTTCATTTTAATCTGGTGCACACACGAAAAGGAGCTGCATTGTTTTGCATTCAGTTTTAAAATGGATCAAGGTGGAGTAGGTGGCTTTGTTGTTACCACCTTACCATCTTTTTTTTTGCGGGAATTCTTTTTTTCTGTTTAACTTGAAGTTTATCAAGTTATCAAGTTGAAGTTCCAACACTGTGAGGGCAATTAGCTGGTCAGACAATGTATTAGACAAAACAATTAGGCTATAATGTATGCTTTAGGTTATCTTGCATGCCAGAGTGACTGAAGGGTTTCAATAACGTATCTTAGGATTGATGAAGGGAATTGCAGTCGTCTAATTGTGGTGGTGGTTCTGTGTGATTAACATGACTTGTGCAAGCTGCATTGGTGGAGTGTTCATTACTTCCTGTTCAATCATAGAAAACTCATTCATGTAGGTTTGGTCATGGTATTAATGACCTTAAAACTAGTGACCAACCTTACTGATTTATAATCTGAATCGTGTTTTCTGTGTCGGTGCTTTGTTTGTGGTATTTACAGTATGTGACTTTTTGAGATGATCTCTTCAGCTCTTTAGCCTGGTACACCCAACCTTCACTAGCTAATTATAGTTTTTTCCTCAGGCTTATTCTTTGTGAAAACAGTCAGGAGGAGTCAGTCTATGTATCTCCTCCAGTTACACTTTCCTGCAATCTAACAGCTGCATTTCTCTTCCTGCTCAGGCTGATTGTAAAGTACGGGCAGTGTGGACTTGCTAAATGGTGGGGCCAGCAGCAATTTAGTATTCCTCAAAATGTCCTGGAGATTGTCTACGGTCAGACCATCTGCTGGATCGGCACTTTCTTCTGTCCCATGCTTCCTGCCATCTGCACTATAAAATACTTCTTAATATTTTACATCAAAAAGGTAGACCCTTTTTTGTTGTTTATCAAACTTTCAACTTCAGATGTTTCAAAAATATTTAAATCTTTTCATTCCTTTTCATTTTTTTGGCTTGATCTTTCATAGGTGTCGCTAATCAGAAACTGCCGCCCATCCACCCGGCCGTTTCGAGCGTCCAGCTCCAATTTTTTCTTCCTTGGAGTGTTGCTGATCGGCCTGGCTCTCGCCTGCCTGCCTATTACTGTTAGCATAGCTCAGTGAGTGGGAAACTAATGTATATTTTATTTTCTTCAGTCTTTTATCCATATTTCATGACAGAAAATAATCGCACAATCCAAAGCAGCTCTCAAACCTTAGATTTTCTAGACTCTGTAGCATCTTAATATATCAGAATAACGTTGAAAAATGAATTAAACTCTTGTATCCATTTATTTTACACAGTAATGTATATTCAAATGTTTGCTAAATATAATCAATATGGATTACAGTTAATGAAAGGCCGTCTCTCAATTCACAAGAACATGAGTATGGACTTGTGTCCTTGCAGCATAAATATGGGTCAGTTGGAACAGAATGGTACTCCTGACGTCACCACATGCCCGGCTCGTCTAGAGCTGCATTTCACCGCTTGTTATTAACAATCTCTAGATAATAATAAATTCTTTTTTTCATTTATTGGGGCAATAACAGTTAACACAGTCAGATAAAGAGAAATCAAATGAACATTTTGCCAAATAAAACAAAAACTTTGCTCTCACAGCCAGCGGTCCTTCACACACGGCTGTCCTGCGAGAGGGCTGTTGCAGACGGGCTAGGAATTTTTATATTTTTTTAAATATGCTTTAAATCGGTAAATGGGCCATACAGTGACTCTTAAAAGTATAATGTTCTCGCCTCAAATGGTCTTAAAACATACTTTTATTGAACAACGGCAACAGAAAAGAGAACTTTTAATACTGTGCTCTATGAGTGCTCCATTGGAAGCTGCTGCTGCAGTGCATGCTGGGACAGCTGGCAATCTCAAGAAAGGACAAGTCTGTTCTGATGAAGAACAACATCCGGGGACTTTTTCTGTTCTCGGTCAGCTGTTCTTGTGAATTGGAACAGTACTAGGGCTGAGGCTGATGACGTTTTACGAGTTAACGAGCAAATCAAAACGCACAAGTACACAGATTGAGAAATGGCCTTAGTTTTATTTTTTATACAACTTGAATATAACAAGATTAAAAAAGCAAGTTTTTTTTTTATCTTACATCATATTGTGAGCTTCACAATCACGAGACAGACAGCTCCTAACACTCTCCACAAGAAGGCAGAACCACAAATGGTTATTGCTCAACAACCTGGCCGTTCACGTGGACGTATCAAAACATAAGTGACATTTTTTTATAAAAAAGGAAAAGGCATGATAGAAGTTGTCCAAGCAACAGAATTTATTACAGTCATGTTTAACAAAATCATTGATACAAGCACAAAATGCACAAGAAGAGCTCCCCTTCTATTAGGGCCTTATGGTTCCACCATTCAGGGGAGACTCCACTGAAAGGCCAACAGCATTTCTATCATCCAAAAAGCACCAGTCAGCATCTAGCCGTTCTCACAGAACCTACAGCATTACCATATAAGCCTTAAGGTGATCACATAAGAATGTCCATTTTGGCTGACCCACACAGAAGAATGAACAGTTATAGAAATGAAGAGATGTAACAGTTATTTAAAACGAAATAAAAACAAATACATCTTCAACAGCTCCAAGAGCTATAGTTTGGAGCAGTCAGAGTAAAATGGGGTCTGAGAAATTGTTGAAAAAATGTACTTAAAAGCTCTCAAAATACTTTTCAGGTTAAAGATACAAGGATAAAAGTACTTACAAAAATAGACCCTAATGTTTCTGTGTCTACCAACCCTGTCACATTTGAGCTTCCATTTTTAATTTGATGAAGTACAAAATAATGACCTTCTCATATTTAAATTTTTTTAGAATGTTCCTGGAGTTCTTAAAGGGATATTGTGCAAGAATTACCGTCATCTAGCAGTGAAATGGAAGCATTTCCCTCAAACGAACGCAAAACACTACTGCATCACTGCCTCAAACACGCATTGCAGCAATGGTAGCCACCATGTGTCAAAATCCGTTGACAGTGCAGCTGTAACCATATAATGCAATGTGACATGAAACCTTTACAGCCATGTATATTTCCTGTGAAAATAAAACTGTGTTCACCACTTCTTTGAAAGCCACTAAACCTACAATTCTCTACCAACAATATTGGTACATGTTTGAGGGATCTACTATTATGCTTTCTATGATAACTAGCAACACTGTCTAATTAAACTGAATGGAAAAGTTTCGCTTTAGGCTAATTTAGGCAGTAAAGTTCCCTTACGTGATGATGAGAAACATGTTAGGGTCCCTTTTAAAAGTCTTTCTCCTTTGTTATTTCTTCAAACTGGAGAAAGCTTGCCTGATGTTTATATGTATATATATATATATATATATATATGTATGTGTGTGTTTCTTTTTTCTGGTTTTGTTGTCTTTTAAATTTTCTTTTTTGCTTTTTTGGAGATGGGACCATTTTTTTTTTTTTGTGCTGCTGTAAATGCATGGTCCTGCATTATACTGCAGTAGTGCAGACTTTCAGTTGTTGGGTTAGGGGAAACGTGTTAGTACTATTTATCCCTCTCCGGCATCTGTACTTTTTAGATAACAGAATATAATGGTGGTTGGTAAATGGAGGACTAGCCTTGTGTGTAAACTAATACAAAATCCTTTGCTTATGAAAATATATCTGCTTATTAGTGAAAGGATTGATGATAATACATATTTAATGTCTTAAATATTAAATTCTTCAATTTCAGGCAGTAGAAAAGAGAAACTTGCACAATGTGCCAACTTTTTGCATATTTATCTGATGCAAAAATGATAGAATTACACTTAACAGTATGTGTGCTGCACATTTTTAGATGCAGGATTTAACATTTTATCAACATTTATTTTGATATTTATTTTCTATTTGTGTACAGAATAAATTGCTCTCAGGCGTGCGGACCGTTTGTTAACTACAACACCTCCTGGCAGGCGCTTCCAGCTGCATTATCACATCTGCCGGACGGAGCCCAAAGATTCCTCTACGCTCTCTCATCAGAGGCCTTTGCTGTCTCTTTCTTTGTAGTCACATGGTAAGTCCTCAGTCTGCTTTTTTCTTTCTTTATTTTTAATCTAGATCTTTGTTTTCTTTTGTCCTGAAGGTAAAATGTTGTCTTTCAGTTTGGCAATGTTTTATGTGATTGCTCTTGCTGGAGCTCACAAGAGAGTCATCAATCAGTTAAGAGAGCAGCTAGTTGTGGTATGTATAGTAAATAAAATGAAAATTGCATGCTTGCCATTTAAAGCCCTTTGTACTGAAATGTGTCATCTTTGGACCTTTAATGTCTTACAGGAGGGCAAGGACAAACGCTTCCTGATCCAGAAGCTGTGCCAGGCTCAGGGGCCTCGCAGCACATCCTCGGTGTCCGGATTCCATCCTGGCAGTCCCAGTAGGCTTAGCCCGAGCTACCACACCAGCTTCTCCAGCAATTACAATGATGCAGTGTTTCTTACACATCCTCCACCAAATTCTGCCACACCTGTGTGAAGCATGGACATTGTATTCCACTAGTAATCAAAAATGAGAGTTGAACCAAAAAAAGAAAGAGATTCTGTGCATGTTTTAAAATTTTACTGTACTTGTTTTTCTCTTTCACTGTAATAACACTAAAACCTGTTTGTTTCTGGGGGTCTCTCAACATATCCTGCAACTATTCAGTGTTTTCTTTTTTTTTTAAATGAAATATTTAAAACCCAGTGATAGAAAGGGTTTAGGTCAGTCTATTATTTTTTTTTTTTTAAACCTCTATCTTTTCCTTCTGAGAAGGACTTTATTACCTATTGATACACTGGACTTCTTTAAAACTGTCCTTTTTTTCATGCACTTAAATAATTTTACTGCTGCCTTGTTTTCTTTTGTAACCTCATCTCATTTGTGCATATTACTTTTAGGTGTTTTAACGTCAACTTTACATATATATAATAACTGTGCAATAAACTAATAAATTTGCATTGTCTGAACTAAAATATATTTTTAAACATTTCTTTAAAGTTACTTCTGGTTTATTTTACAATTAGAGCAGAACAGCTACTTTATTCATCTAAAATCTAAACCAGTTGGTTCAAAAGCGATAAAAAATAAAAACCAGCTTACACTACAAATACCAATGAATTTGGCCTGAATATCTGGGAAATTCCAACCTAATTCTGTCTCTTGGTTTTGTAAAATAGAGCCGCTTTTGCTCAATAATTTTGTATGTAAAATGTTTGACACTGCATTAAATGGTTCTAGTATTGAAAACATATGTTCTGTTTATTAATTGCCTGACCCCTAAATGTAATTGGTTTTACTTGATTTTCCTCTGGGTATCTGAAAAATGTTGTAAATATGTACCTACCACTCTTCAATTAATTTAAACTTTTAAAATATATTTTTTCCTTCATTATTATCATTACCTTTAATGTGTATTGTACAACATTGCGAATAAGCCATTAGGCGTTTTGAAAGCATATATTTTATTTAGGATATTGTTTCTTCTGTAAATAAGTTGTTTTACTTTATTAAACCTCCTATACACAAGGGGGCGCTGCAGATGTCTTTCTAACTGACAGAACCAGGCAACTCAGCTGGTACGGAACCGGACGCAGCGTGCTGGGTGGTTCTGATAGCTCTGTCAAAAATGTTTAGAATAACGATACGGGCAGATGTAGGATCTTTTTGGTTCTTTTTCTGCGTCTTTTATACTCAGGTCCTGTCCGGCTCCTCTGACGACATAGTGGTAGCCTGTGGCGGATTTGTGAAATCCGACGTAGAAATCAACTACTCCCTGATCGAGGTGAGATAAGCTAGCCGCTAGCTGTTAGCATGGATCAGCCAAAGGTTAGCCGTCGGTATGAATGACTGAATAAAAAAAACTTTTGATATAATATAAACGCATGTCTCTCAATGACATTGCCTATTCTGTTTTAGATCATGTATTATTACACAATAAACGATTCGTTTACCGTTTCGCTACATTTGACAGACTGGTTTTCTGTTCTTGTCATAAATGTATCGCATGAAATCAATGGTACATTCCAGTGGCAGTTCTCCACATGGTTGTTAATCCTAATATGTGTCGGAGTTAATGAGGAAGACCCTAAGTGCTCCTCCTAATCCTGCCTCATTCAGACTTCCAAAGGATTTAAACGCAAGGTTCTTTAAATCTGCAAAATCACCCTTCAACGACACCAAACTAATCCCAATACAGCAATACCCTTAAAAATAAAAAAACATTTAACACTTAATGCATCTCGTTTGTTTTCCAGATTAAACTGTACACCAAACAAGGCTCCTTAAAGTATCAGACCGACTGTGCTCCACTCAATGGCTACTTCATGATCCCTCTCTATGACAAGGTATCTGACTCTCCGGGAACATCATGTCTAAATGATACATAAGCAGACATTGCAAAGCTCATGCATTTCTCTCTTGAATGTAGGGGGACTTCATTCTGAAAATCGAACCTCCTCTCGGCTGGAGCTTTGGTAAGAAATCCTCTGAATCACGACTAACTATAGGTTTCCTGTAGGCGCTGTGCTCATATATGACAGGCAGACCTTGTTTATTGTCAACAGAGCCAACCAGTGTGGACCTGCATGTGGATGGAGTCAGTGATATCTGCACCAAAGAAGAAGACATCAATTTTGTTTTTACAGGATTCTCTGTCTCAGGAACGGTAGGACTATCTGTAGTTTTAAAGCGTATATTTAACGAAAGAGGGAATCAGAATGACAATATAGGAATGAATCATCAACTCATATAAGATTGCCAATATTTTACTGCACATATACAAAGGACATTTACAGGCTCGGACTGGTAATCTGTGAGGTGGGCCGGTCCTAATTTCAACATGCGAGGGCCGGCCCTCCTTAAATCACACCGGCCCAGCCGAAGCACCTACCTGTGACAGTAAATAACTCAAGGAGCTCAAGAAGTAATACAATGTTAACAACTAGGGCTGGCTATTTGAATCGATTCCATTTTGATTCATACAGTTCTAAATCAATTAATTGCAATTCGATCTTTTTTTACAACCAGTGATTCAGCTGCGTTTCAGAATACTCATGTATTTAATTTTTTCCTGTTATATTAAACACAAAGTGCAAACTTGTAAATCGGACAGAGATGTGAACAAAACTGTTTCATAAGTGCAAACTTGTTTGTGAAAAGTGAAAAAGTGAAGCCTCACTCAAGCAAGCAGACGTGACACAGTGGGGACACAGCAGACGTGCATGAGCTGCATTATCTTCCCTGCACAAACTATATTTGCAGTGTTGTCTGTAAAAACCATTTGTTAATGTCTTCAGTCAACCTATTGGCTATATTTGCAGCTGTCTGGCTTAAAGTAATCTTGAGTGTATCTTTCCTGCTCATTTGAATATGAACGTCATGCGTGTCACTATAAAACTAATCGATCTCATTCCCTAGACATCGATTTTTGCAAAAATGTAAAGGAATCGATTCAAAATCGATTAAGTAATTTTTTTTACACAGCCCTATTAACTACCTTAATGATGCATGCAGTATATATAACCCTTCCTTGTCATACATATCCTTGTGACGGTTGGTATATGGTGTAATTTTCTATTTCTTCGAACTGTAAAATCGTTGCCACTAACTAAATTATAATTAAACTAAAATGCTTTATTTAAACCAAACTACGATGTTCCTCTTTGCCGAATTTATGTTAGAATTTATGTTAGAATATTTTGCAAAAGTATGCATGATGGGGTTTTGCATCTTAAGGGTAATGTTTCCCGTCCCCTACGTGCTTTGTTGCCAGGTTGGTAAACATCCCAACCTGGCAGTTTAGGATGACCGTCTATGGGTAAAAAAATGTTTGTTTTTTTAGATTTATGGCCTAAGAGATCAATAGACTTTGGTTCAAATTGGGTGAGATTTCTTATATCCAGACAAGTTATGAAAATTTTTTGGGCTGGAAAACGTGAGTCAGTGACATCTGGCAACCCTGCTGATGTGGTGAGTGTGGACGTTACCCAGCAGCAGCCACTGTTGCATCCTCGTTAATAACCAAAGCCAGTAAAACTGCGTTATAGAAATATTGGTGATGGTTGTAGTGTGATGCTTGAAGACTGATCGGTTAATCCACAACGTGTATTCGTATTGTTTTTCACATTTGAGACGCACACGTTTCACTGTGCTTCTGTTTTTTTTTTCTGGGGGCATAAGTGGGCCGGTGTAGATGGAAAAATGCCAGGGCCGAAAATTGTTCCCAGTCCGAGCCTGGACATTTATGTTTGTTTGTTTGTTTGTTTTTTTTTTATCTTTTAGACAACCCATTTCTGTGTTTACTGAATATCTGGTCCCATATGAGTTAGCGGTAACTCCTTGTTTGTGGAATAAAACCCTTTATTTTAAAGGCTTTCTTCACAAAGTCTGAATTCTTACTGTCTAGTGCTACTGCGTTTAGTAAATAAGACAAACCACTGTACACTCACTAAAATGACTTGATGGTTCCTGTCTCCTTTTCCCGCGTAAAGTGCTTCTGTTAGTTATGCTCCTGTAATATAATATGCCCTCCTGTGTAATGTGATTTCTTAGGTGCTGAGTAAGGGCCACCTTCTGGGCCCCGCTGGCGTTGAAGTCAAACTGAGCCAAGTAGGAACAGATGAAAAACCCAAGAGCGTGTTCACACTGCCTGGAGGGAAGTAAGTGCACATTAAGCCTGTTGTATGGCTTTACCCTCTGCAGAGATCATTTGATCAAATTAGATACAATTTTTTTTTTTTTTTTGTCTTGTTAAAACAGGTACACCTTCTTTAAAGTGCTTCCTGGAAGTTATGATATCACAGCTTCCCACCCTTCTTGGTCTCTGGAAAAGGTTGGTATGTTTAAAGCAAGGGAATCATGTCATAAAAGGAAATGTCCGACCATCTGTCAGTTCTGTCGTTTGATAAGTTTAGTTTAATGGTTGCATTTTGTAAGGAAAGTTCTGAAGCAGATGTGTTTGAATGTCTTTGTGTCAGTGTTAACTATGGAGATGCTCTAGCTTTGCCTTTCCTAAAGGAGCCACAATTACAAATGTGCCTCATTTGCATTTTTCCTAAACAATTCTTTGAATCACTGTTCATCAGCTAGAAAGACCTCAGCCCTGGTAATGGAATGGTAATGTGCATGTGATGTTCGGTTATGCTGCTTTGCTCGTCATGTTGGCAAAATGTAAATGGGAGCTCAACAGGTGGCTTAGATATTCCACTTCTTGAACCGGTTTTAATATGCCCACGTTAGATCATACTCTCAAAGTAAATTGTCAGGGAACTGTAGAGAATCGAACATGAGGCTTGACATATAGATTTCAAATATCTGGACTGTAGAGACTGATATGATGCATCTGGACCATGTAACCATGTGTTACTACTGTGTAGGGTTGTAACTAACGATTAGTTACGAGAGATAGAGCTTCAAGGTGCAGACACAGAGCCTATCTTTAAGACAAAGGTTCATTAAAGAAGATTTTTTTTTTTTTTTTACATTTAGGTGAAATTCCAGGTGAAATTCAAACTTTTCCTCTTGAGGAATTCTGGATAGAGCATATTGCCAGACGAAAATGTTTTCTTTTTAAATCTTAAATGCGAAAGGTTTATAATTTATTTTTTATTTTTTTTTTACAATTTTTATATATTTAATAATCTAAGTGGGTTGTTCTGTCAGCTAAAGGCATGTTTTACAGACTACAGTATACTCCGGTTAACGATTAATCAATTACTATAATAGTTTATGATTACTTCAATAATTTATTGATCACAATTAATCTGATTTATTGTTTCAGCCCTACTTCTATGTTAATTTTCTTAAAGGAATAGTACACCCAAAACATGATTAGCCTTCATTTTCTACTCACCCCCATGCTGAACAACACTCTGGAGTACTTTTTTGNATAGATTTCAAATATCTGGACTGTAGAGACTGATATGATGCATCTGGACCATGTAACCATGTGTTACTACTGTGTAGGGTTGTAACTAACGATTATTTTGCAAATCAATCAATCTGTTGGTTATTTTTTTAGATTAATTTATTAATAATCGGATAGCCAAGTGTTACTATAGTTATCATTGATGTGTAAGTTTATTACACCTCAATATCAGCTGCTTGTTTTGTCAGGACTAATGTTTTCCACAATAGTTTATCTAATTAAGACAGTTATTCTGTACATGTCAAAAATTTGGGAATAGGATGAGAGCGGTATCCTTCAGCTAAGTGTAATATTTTGATAAGGCTGGAGCCATGGATGTCGACTCATCTGCTAAAGTGTATGATGTAATGATGCAATGTGATGAGGTGGCAGACTGGAGATGTATAAAGTGCCTCTAACTGTTAATCTGGGTCACTTCCTGAGAGGTGAGCCCAGAGGTGAGCAGCTGCCTTCTGACCTGAGTAAGATTACAATTTCTATCCGAATCTGTTGTCATGTCTCCTGGTTATTCAATACATATAAGTTATGAAGTGTTATTTAAAGAGTTTGTCCCAAGTGATTTCTTCTCAGGAAAAACAAAAAAAACAGACTAACTTTAACACAAAGGTTCATTAAAGAAGATTTTTTTTTTTTTTTTTTACATGTAGGTGAAATATAAACTTTTCCTCTTGAGGAATTCTGGATAGAGCATATTGCCAGACGAAAATTTTTTTCTTTTTAAATCTTAAATGCAAAAGGTTTATACATTTTTTTTTTTTTTTTTTTTTTTTTTTTTTTTTTTTATATAATTAATAATCTAAGTGGGTTGTTCTGTCAGCTAAAGGCATGTTTTACAGACTATATTCCAGTTAACGATTAATCAATTACTGTAATAGTTTATGATTACTTCAATAATTGATTGATCACAATTAATCTGATTTATTGTTTTAGCCCTACTTCTAAGATAATTTTCTTATGTGAATTATTTGGAACCAATTGTAATAACCCATTTTTAACCTCTTACAACATGGGATCCAACCCTCTCTAGAACTTGTCTTTGAAAGTAATTCCAACAAGAAAGGTTTTATAAGTTGTCGTGCTTTTTTAATGTTTACTCAATGTTCAAGGTTGAGGGGTTTTTAATCTGTTTATTAAAGAAAAATTTAGCGACCCTCTGATCAGGATTTTTATCATCAGTCACCCATGAGGGCTGATCTCGGTTGATCACACCGATTGGCTTTTCATTTTTTATTTAGATATTAATGCTACAACTGGTTATGGGATCTGGCAAAATTAAATCAATAGAATCGCCTAATTTAGACAAAACATACAAAAAAATAATTTGCAGCATTAATGCAGAAAGTATTCAGTCAAGAAGATGAATCAAATACCTGCTAGTTATTTATTTTTTATTATCTGTCATGTTAGGATAAAGCAAAAGTTGTAATACTCCTATTAAAGCTTTTCTTTTATTAAGATACATCCTGCAGCTTTAAGGAGACGTTCACTGTGAGACTCCATTATCTGGTGCAGCTCAAACAGCGCTACGTTCTGAAATATTTATGCCGCTGCAGAGAACCCAAAGACTTTCACTGCTGGTCCTTTAGAGGATTAACTATATTATTTTTTGGGTTATTTTTTTAAATTGTGCGTTGCTTTACCTGCGGTCCTTTTTATCCCTTTTTTATCTCTGCAGCGAGCCTCGATACTGTCTTTAAATGTCACAGACTGGGTGCAGTGATGCATTTGTTTTCATGCTTTACCTCGAAGGAATTTTTCTATTGCAAGATGCAAACTTCCCTTTACTTTCAAAGCACAAAAGTTCAGCATAATAATGCTTAGGAGCTTCTGCATTGCATAGTCTGAAGGACAAAGGAAGAAATGCTGCAGGTGGGGCTCTGCAGGCTGCAAAGTAGAAAATGAAGGTGATTGTTTTAGTGATGGTATTAAAAGACGGTGATCGGCAGTCATCTATGACATACTTTATGATCAGGTATTGATCTACACATCACTGCATTTATTACAGAAGTAAAAAGCAGATGGGTAGTCAGATAAGAAGCTTATTTTCGCATTATGTTTCATGACCTTTTTTTAAATCAAGTAGATAGTTTTATTTATATAGATTTTCAAATGTTTAAAAAAAAAACGATTTGGAATTTGGAACTTAAAAATGGCTACATTTTACATGGGAAGTATGTAAGATCAAACCTTAGCATTCTGCAGATCATGTTACCATATGTCCCTGCTCAGGCAAAGACCCTTCAGTGTCTAGATTTATTTTTTTTTCATTCTGCACACAAGCTTCATTATGCATATTCTCACCAAGCTGATGGGGTTCCTTGTCAGATCAGCTAGGTTCTTATCAATGATCTTCTTGGTTAATCATGTTACCCCCCATTAAGAAAGTTGTTCCCTTCATACGGCCTAACGCCTCAACCTTTACTGTCTACATGTAGAGTAAGACCGCCGTGCATGTCTCCAATGCCAACGCTCTGGCCTCCGAGCATCTGTTGGTCGGAGGTTACGATGTCTCTGGGGAGGTCCGCAGTGATGGAGAGCCCATGAAGGAGGTCACCTTTCTGCTGTACTCGGCCACGGTCAGAGGAGAGGTAAGCAAGACCATTCTGCAGGTTTCCAACAAACTGCAGTAAAGTTTGACTTTATTTCTCCACTGTAAGATCAATAAAGTCAGTCAATCAATGAAACTGGAATATAAAGTTAAATGAATGCAAAATGAATCATATTTTTGCTTTAACATAATAAAATTTCAGTTTATTTTGATTCTAAGAAAAGACGATGGGATTCCAAGAGAAACTGGAATGTGTCCAGAAGTTGTTTTTGCTCATCTTGAATGATTTGCTTTTTGTTGGTTAATTATCAGGGTTCCTACACCGACCAGAAAAATTTCACTGAAAATTATTTAAGTAGACCTAGATGGGCAAAGAAGAACAATATTGCAACATAGAGAAATATTTTAATTTGCAGTTTATACCAAAAAAGAATCTTCACCTGCATTTTTCAGTTTATACTTTATCCTCTTGGCTAAAGGTTGTATCTGTTCATGATGGATGATTTATACATTTCTTCAGTCCATCCAACCTGCTATTTACACTGTTTTCCTTTGGTTAATCTTTTCATTTATATCACCATCATGTGTTGAAATATTTTGTAGAAAAGTCTTTAATAAGTCGTAGTAAACCGTTTGGTGTCATGCATAGTAACTTTTAAGGAGGATCTAGGTGGATAAAGCTGCTCATTTGGTTGAATTTTCTAGGACATCAGTGGCTGTAACATGTCTCCAGTGGACGGAGCGGACCTGGAGGACAGCTCTCTCGTCTACCTGTGCAGCACTCAGTCAAGGAATGATGGCATCTTCACTTTTCCTTCATTGGCCAGTGGCGAGTACACCGTTGTAAGTTTCCTTTGAAAAATAACAGACTTAACTCTGTTTCTGACTCATGTACATAAAAACTGATATACTAGATAATCATTGAGGTTTAAAACTACAGCTAGCGTTCATTAACAATTCAGTTAAACAGTTTAAAGAAGGATATTATATGAGTGCTTTTAAAGCAATGCACCTGACTGGTGTTTGAGCTGACATTTGTCAGTAATTAAAATCATAATTAAAATTTTTCCTCTAAGCTCTTTCATAAATCCTTTTTGTGCCCATTTTTATTAAACACTCAGTAACCACTTCTGACAACTAATGCAGTTTGTTCCTTCTTCCCTACTAAAGGCCCTTGGCTTATGTCAGCTGGGAGGATTATATTTATTCAAAGTGAATCAAATTAATCTGTACAGTGAAGTTAACATTTCTCACTTTTTGACCGAACAGATTTATTTTTTGTCTCAACCTAAATGTGATAATTGGATCTAAATCGGGGCTCTGTAAACATTTTTTTCCCCAGAAAAATTTAGTGCATTGTACTAGTGTTGCAGTTTTCAATTGTGACCACTAGATGTCACCACGTCCTAAATGCTAAATTGTAATAATGTGGAGGACTCTTATGATACTTCCACATGTCATATAACCAGCTAACCTTTTCTCATGCGGTGTTCATTCTACAGCTAGAACTTTAGTAGAGGTGTCACTCACTGCCACTGGCTTTGCAGTCGGTGGGATGATAAAAGGTGCGCAGTCCTGCTCGTAGTCGTCAGACCCGAGACTAACAGATTCCACCTCTGAGTCTGGTTCTGCGCCCGCAGGGTCACAAAGATCCGGGAGGGCAGCCTCATCTTCCTCCGGGTCAGTTAGTGGCGCGACAGAGTCGAGGTGGTCTGCTCAACTGGTTCGGTGAATAGTTGCTCCCCCTCTACGGACACAGTGAGCACCGGTGGTGGAGGGTTGGCTACCTCCATCACAGGGTCCACCTCCGACAGGCTAGCTTGGAGCACTAGCATGCGGCGACAAGATCTGAGGGAGAGCCACGCGCAGTGCTCACAGCTAGCTGGCGACGTTACTCCTTCCCGGGCGTGTTGCAGCGCCAGACACGATGTGTGGGCGGGTGTGTGTCCCAGCTATAAGGTGGCCACATGTGCAAGCTCTAGCAGGTGGCGTGCTCTTGTCCATGATGAGTACAAGTTCACACTGCCTTATAAGCTCTGAAAATTAATAAGCAGCTAGTTTGGTGACTAGTTGCAGCTGCTGCTGTTTGGTGGCAGACCAGCAGTGGGCGAAGAACTCGGAATAGCTGAATATCAGTACTGAGTAGCGTTCTCTGACCGAGGTCGCTCTGTGAATAGTTTATGCTAGCTCAATACTTGCTGTATTAGCCATCCGAGTAAGCTTCTAGGAGCGAGAAGAGGTGTTAGAGTGAGGATCACCAGCGTGACTTCAGGTTCTTATACTGGTTACAAGTTCCTCCACGAGCAGCAGACGTCACCTCTGTGAGAGTCAAGACTGGCGTAATGTTATAGAGTTTCTGGAGACAGAATGTCAGGAATGTTGAAAGAGAACTGTACAATTTGTTGAAACAACAATAAAACTGGTCATTAAAAGGAATTTCTTTCTAAATAGGAGAAAAAAATATGATTAGATAATCTTTGATGCATGTATCATCTGTTCTCCTTTGTCTGCAGGTGCCTTTCTACCGAGGAGAAAGGATCACTTTCGATGTTGCTCCCTCTAGGATGAACTTTAAGGTGGAACACAACAGCTTAAAACTCGAGGTAACAAACTAAACTGCTAACTCTTCATGTTCGTTTAGTTTTTGAATGAAAAATGAATAGTTAGACAGAGAAAGGGAAAATCTACATTGTGAATTTTTTGAATTAATTGTAAGAAAATAAAATGAAAGACTGAACTAGTTTTATTAATCTGGAGCTATGACACCTGGAAGCTGAAAAGGATCTGAAATCCCTTCTGTTGTTTTTGGTAAAGTCAAATCAGCAGATCTTATTCAGCGCTGATGTTCACTAATAATAACATATTTTGATGAAGCAACTACTGTCACGCTGTTTCTGTTCAGCCCATCTTCCGTGTCATGGGTTTTTCTGTGACGGGCCGAGTCCTCAACAGTGTTGACGGGGAGGGCGTTCCTGATGCCGCTGTCTCACTCAACAACCAGATCAAGGGTAAGGATTCACATTGGTGCTTTTCATCGGTTTTCTCGCAGTAATCCAATAATCAGAGGTTTTCCAATAACTTCTTTGGCCGTAGGTGTATAAAATCCAGCTCTTGTCAAGAACGATACTTCCACTAGCATTTGTTTTTTAATGGATCGCTCTCAGGAGCTTAGAGTTCAATACTGGTATCATGAAATGGTTGCTTACAGATCAGGGTTCCCGCGGGTCCTTAAAAAGTCTTAAAAGGCATTGAATTCTTCAAAATAAAACTAAGGCCTTAATTGGTATTAAAATGTCTTAAATCAGTCTTTTGTAGGTCTTCATTTTAAAAACATCATAAATAGGATTATTTTTATTACGATTTATTTTTGTAATCTAAATAAAACATAAAAATTGACAATTTATTTTTTTTTATTTAAAAAAAATAACGGCTTGCCATTATCGGTTCCATCCCGATAGCGGAACCAATAAAAGCGTTGTTGCTGCCGGGACATTTGGGAAATGCGCCATTAACTTTTTGTCTGGAAAATATAAACAAGTGTAAATGTAACAAAAATTGGCTCCAGCCAAGAGTTTTCTCCATGGCTAAAACCAGGGAACACACATGAGGCACAGTGGATTTTGTGCAAGAAGTGATTGGATTAAGGCAGTGGAGTCGCACATGCGAAGCGCGAAACACAAAGCGTCAAAATGGAGTTACAGAGAAACAGCCGGTATTTCTCGGTTTTGTTCCACCCTTGTCTCTGCAACGCCTCCACTTATCACCAAATCAAACATACTAAGAAAACGATACAAAGAAAAATAGCTGCAAAAAAGACTTAGCACTGGTTATGTTGGGGCTTTAAAACTGATTTGTTTTGTTCCCTGCTAAAACAAAGTTTGTGAATTCAGTTAAATAATTGTTAAAATATATCTGTCATTTGTGTGTTTTTAGCTTTCTTCCTGTATGGGAAGCTTTTCAAAATTTTAAACGTTGATGCAAAGGTTAATGTTAAAATAAACCTTTGGGTAAAGTTGTCGCAAGCATGTTTTTCTTGTGTTTCTTGTAAATTTGTTCTTAAATTTTTATTTCAAGTGGCATTAAAAAGTTTTAAATTTTAATTGCCTTATGCTGTAGGAACCCTGCAGATAAATATTCCACAGTCAGTTGTTAGCGGCATCATAACAAAGTGGAAGACGCTGGAACTCACACCAACTACATCAGGAAGTGGGAGAACACATAAAGTCCTGTGGGTCGCTGAGGCAGCAACGTTTTAAAGTCTCAGTAGCTACAAACCTGCAGACTTAGATTAGCTGAAGATAATGGCTTATAGAGGTTCATGGAAGGGCCTTCTATGGCTAAACATCTGCTTCCAAGTTTTATACCTTTATACCTCTTGGTCTACAACTAACCATCGGGTGCAGTGGTGTAACATAGGAGAGCAGTGAAATCGGCAGCAGTGCAAAGCCCCCCCAGACCCACAGGAGAAGTTGCAATAATTTGCCTTGAATTTCAGTGATGCAAATGTAAATCAGACCTCTTAAAAATCACAGGCTTACTCCTTTACTTCATGGTAAGCCTGAATGACACACAGAAATCAGCATAATTAGCTACCTGCAGTGTAAGAGACGTTATTTCTAAAAGCATATGCTGTAGAAATAGTTTTCTCTTCCTCAACTGGACTTGTAAATTAAGTGTGAAATCCTATCTTCTTTTGAATATATTAAACACCCCTTTTTGCCTCCCCAGGCTGTGGCACCCTGGGTGTCCACCATGTTATCTAAATAAAACATATTTTTGGCCTTTCTTAATTTGTGTTTTAAAGACTGTGTTTTTCTTTTGCAGCAGCTTAAAAAAATCTGCATTAAAATAGATTGTCATGGTATCGCCTGGCGTTTCATTTTGCAAACACATATTCCAACCTTCCTGTCTGTCTGCAGTTGTCAGTAAGGAGGACGGCTCCTTCCGGTTGGAGAACATGACTGCAGGTGTCTACACCATTCGTGTCAACAAGGAGCTCATGCTTTTTGAGCCAATCACCGTAAAGATTGCCCCTAACACACCTCAGCTTCCTGACATCATCACAGCGGGGTATAATTACCATTTTCTAATCTTAATGATGAACGCTTGATGTGATTCACGTCCAAGAGAAGCCTTCTAAATACCCGATGTTGGTTGAACACAGGTTCAGCGTTTGTGGCCAGATCTCCATCAGCCGCCTGCCTGAGGGCATGAAGCAGCAGGGCCGCTATAAGGTCACTCTGACCCACCGGGGCCAGGACAAGGCTCTCAGCTGGACCACCGATTCAGACCCTCAGGGGGCTTTCTGCTTCCAGGCCAAACCAGGGAACTACAGCGTCCATGTGAGTCTGATGGAGCTTTAAGATTTCCCTCAAACATCCCAAACCTTCCCTGCATGAGCTCTTTAATCATTTTAACAGTAATTGAACCATTTAATGTATTTAAATCTTAATCTGTTTGATCTTTATAGGTTTAGCAAACTGTATTCCCATTTTATGAACAGAGGAAAAACATTTAAATAGGAACACTTCCTTTTCCTTTAAATAACAGGCCAGTTGAGTTCATTTCACCAGTGTAATAAATCATGAAGAGATAAGAACATTCTTTTCCCACCAGTATTAATTATTTGTTGAAGTTTTGTGCAGATATTGCACAAGTGTAAATCCATCTTCTCATTGTTTTTGCTTGATCTGTTCAGGTGTCTCTCCCTGATGCTGAGGTGAAAGCAGGTCTCGCCCTTCAACCTCAGGCCTTGGAGGTCTCACTAGTAGACCGCCCCCTCACAGACCTCCTTTTCACCCAGTTCATGGCTTCTGTCTCAGGAAAAGTTTTCTGTCTGGGTAATGACTCACTTATTTCCTTACTAACATATTTTTATCATCCTTGGACTGATAAATATTTTCTCTGCCTGTTCATTGGTTCCTTCTAGCATCCTGTGACAGTCTGTCTGTAACTCTGCAACCGGTGAGTCGGCAGGGAGAGAGGAGGACGGTGGCTTTGTCTGGCAGCGCCGACACCCTCAGCTTCAACTTTGACAATGTTTTACCTGGAAAATACAAAGGTTATTAAAAATTATGAATCATTTTTCATATAGACCAAAAAAAAAAAACATTTAGTCTGCTGAATTTCTACCTTTGCTCTTTCAAACAGATTACTTTTCTAAAGAAACTTTTAGTAGGGAGCACGTTGTTACCAAGATGTTTCTTGCAGTCATTAGGTTTGCAGACATATCAGAAGGGAAACTTGAAACTTTAAACCCTTCATTTTTCTTTAAAGTTTTTACTCCCTCCACAGATTCACCGTCTGAGTCCACTCTTTAGACACTCCGTTGTTTCCATGGCAACGAGTTTGGATCATTCTGAAAAAACTCTTCAAAAAAATTAGGTCGTTTCGGACCAGCCCTCTCTTGGCATAGCCGGATATGAAGGACCACTGGCTCTGATGGCGATTTTTTTATTTGGCAAAAAGTTCATTTGATTTGTGTTTATCTGACTGTGTTAAGTATTATTTGCCCAATACATGACAAAATAATAAATTATTATATAGAAACTATTAATAAGAGGAGGAGAAATGCAGCTCCAGACGAGCAGAGCGTATGGTGACGTCACAAGTACTCTTCTGTTCCAGTTGACCCTTCTTTATGCTGCGTGCTCCTTTTCTCCCCAAGTCCATATTTTCCTGTGTTCTTCTCAAGAACATACTTGGCGAGGACACGAGTCCTTACTCGCGTTCTTGTGAATTGAGAAACTGCCATAATTTCAGTGTAATAACAAACAACAGTTGATTCATTATTTACCAAACGGTTCATTCCTTTTTTTTTTTTTTTAACAGCTTATTTGCATACGCCATAGAATTTATTTAATTTAAGATAATTGAGTCTGACAGTGGTCTATAGGGGGCTTTTTTTCTCAGCAAAAATATATGCACATCCCTTTGGTTTATTTATAATTATAATATTACCAGAATTCAAATTAAGCTGTGGATCAAAGATTTATATATATGCATCTCATGTGAAATTTAAACCCTACATTGGAGAACAATGGATGCTTATTTGCACTGATTCTCTGCTGATTTAAATGGACCCTGTGGCTAAGAATGGTCAAAAATTAAATTGTAATTAACACCTTTTTAGACATAACTGTCTCTTAAAATAGCAGACATGTTTTCGCAAAGATGGCTCCTCTTTATTTTTGCTCCTCTATACATCTTTAATCCTGTTTAGCATACAGTGTACATTCTGTTATTTGCCTGCAAGCTGTCTGCACACACAGCATCTCTGAGGTATCAGTTCTCTGTTTAGTGCTGGCAGCTCTGACTGCTGTGGTACTTCAAGTTGTTGAGCCTCTGTCAGAGATCCCTTCAGGGAGCTCTGATGAGATGCTTCCATGGACTTTTTTTAACCTTTTGTTTCAATAGTTAAAGTTAGTTTCTCCCATTGTTTTTGTTCTCCCTCCCTCCCTTTGTCTCTCAGTGGGTATTTCTCACGAAGAGTGGTGCTGGAAACATAAATCTCTGGAAGTGGAGGTTCTGGACTCGGATGTCTTGGGCGTCGAGTTCAGACAGATCGGCTACATCCTGCGTTGCTCCCTCTCCCACGCCATCACTTTGGTCAGTATACAGCAATCTGAGTGCTTCGTTTATATGATGGCAGCTCTCTGACCCAACCTCCCGGTTCCCTGCAGGAGTTCTTCCAAGACGGCAGCAAACCTGAGAATGTTGGCGTCTATAACCTCTCTAAAGGAGTCAATCGCTTTTGCCTTTCCAAACCAGGTGAGTTTCAGCTTCTTAGCCTCTCTTCAGCCAGACATGATGTTAATTAGCACAAAGGGGAACTTTGCACAGCTTTGCAAACCTTTCCCATGTGCATAGTTGCAGCATTTTGACCCTTAAGGTTTGTGTAAATATAAATGTGGTACAAAATAATTAATCACATAAGAATGGCTTGTCCAGGTGTTTACAAAGTCACCCCCCGCTCCTGCCATCAGTTTGAGCAGGACTTCTACACTTATGATACGTAAGTAAAAAAGCTGCTTATAAGATGGTTTGAACATTCTTTCGTCGTGCGCAAACTGTTTTCTGATACCTTATAATGCTGCGTTTAACAGTTCGTCTCCCAGCATCCTGACCCTCACCGCAGTGCGTCATCACATGACTGGCCTCATCACCACAGACAAGATGCTGGATGTCACTGTCACAATCAAGTAAACCAAGCCCCTGTCACAGTTTGGATATTGTTTGTTGTCTGTTCATCCATTAACGGCCGTGTCCCCACCCAGATCATCCATCGAAAGCGAGCCGGCGCTGGTTCTGGGGCCGCTACGCAGCCTGGAGGAGCAGAGGCAGGAGCAGCAGCTGCAGGAGATTCAGCTGCGGCAACAGGAACGAGAGCGAAGAGCGGCCGAGGAGCAGGGGGGCGTTAGAGATGACAGTCCCCCCATTCAGGAGAAGGCGGATGAATTGACGGGCCCGTTTCACTATGAGTTCTCCTACTGGGCCAGGTCGGTTACCTGACTGCTTTGTCACGGATTGGATTAACTTTTTATCTCCTCAGATTTTTTTTTTCCTTAGATGGGAATGTTTTCTGATTCATTTGTGTTTATTGTCAGCTTCCCGAACAGTTTCTTTGTGCAGATTTTGTTTAAAATGCCTCAACAACTTCAAGCCAAAATCACCTTTTAGTTTCCCTTTTGCTCAATGCAAATAACTTATTTACAAGCGGCTTAATCTGCTCAGTCAGAAAGGATTTATCTCTGTCATTCTAAAAGTGTTATTCTCTCTTGTTGTTCAGATTCAGCAGCACATGCAGACCACAATAAAAAAAAAAATGGAATCTTGACAATCCATTCAAAAATAACCCCTAGATCAATCTTCTTGAAATAAATAAGTCTGTGTTGAACTTAGCAATTATTTCCTGTGGCTGTGCAGGGCTGGTGAGAAGATCACAGTCACACCATCTTCCAAGGAGCTGCTCTTCTACCCCCCTGAAGTGGAGGCAACTATAACAGGCGGTAAGAGATTTCTCACACACTGCAATGAACTCAGAATGAAGTGCTAATTGGGTCTAAAATTAGTATGAACATCAATTATGAATAAGTAGGTTTGTCCAAGCCTTTGGTTGTATGAGAAGAATCTCTTTATCGCTCATTTTCTTGGGTTAGAATCGTGCCCTGGTCGGCTGGTGGACATCGTTGGGCGTGCAGGTCTCTTCTTAGAGGGCAGAGTGTCGCCTAAGCTCCAAGGTGTGGAAATATCCATCACAGAGAGAGGAGCTTCTGTGCCGCTCATTACTGTGGCCACTAATGAGATGGGAGCCTACAGGTATGAAAATCTAGACAGATAAATGGCCTGCATTAACATTTCAGTGAGGATGTTCAGGACTTTTGGTGCCAAAGCCGCCTTTGGCTTTCGTTGAAAACTGATGGACTCACTTTGGTGTTCCGCCCTGCGAATGGCTCTGATGGGGCCCTCTGGATGTTTGTCATCAGAGGATAGGTACAGTGTTGCAGCCATGCATAAAGAAAAAAATTATGCTTTAGAATCCAGTCATCCAGTTACAGCAATGGCAAAAGATCAAATGATGTTCAGTGGAACTAGAAGTATTCCCAGCACTGCTTAAAAAAAAAAAAAGAAATTTCATGTTAAGATGTTTCAACACTATTCCAGATTGTATTATATTAATCTCTTTCCATAAAAGACTTTACACAATACCCCATTATAGTAATGTGAAAATTGTTTTGAGATTTCCGCATATGTGTTAATTAGGGCTGCACGATATAATCGGCCCCCTATCGGTATCGGCCTTAAAACTGAATATCGGACATCGGCCACCCCACCGATATTTAACCCGATATTTGATCAG